TAGCAGGACAGACTGGGTTCTATAGTCTTGGAAGGCTGGTCTAGGACAACTCTGAATTCAAAATCTGCGAAGGGTCGTTTGGGGACCTTGTGGCACGTAGTGCACCAGGTCTCTGTATTCGTCCCTTCAAAAAGTGCGGATGGTCCTGCACGAAACCTTCACCACTATAATCAAAACTCATGCGCTGTTTCCTAGGAATTGATCTGCTTGACACTCATACGTCGAATTCGACGGGAGAGTCGTTTATGTATATATATATATATATATATATATATATATATAAGCACTGGTTGGAGTAATATTTAGTAAACTGTGTTTCGTAGATCATTAGTTCTGTATTTACACACGCCTCTATCTCTGATATTGAGCACTTTATCCCATAAATATTACACCTTAAGACTTTTTCTTTATATATATATATATATATATATATATATATATATATATATGCACTTGGTTGGAGTAATATTTAGCGATCACTAAAAGTGATTTATATATATATATATATATATATAAATATATATATATATATATATATATATATATATATATATATCCGCCATACACACCTCAGCATGGGATTATGTTTCGATCTTGAGAGTACCTCATGCTTGTGCTCTTGTTCATGACTATCTTAAAATTAGTAACTATATATAGAATATATATTTCTTTCTTCTCTTTATTTTTTGGATAAGTTTCTGCTTTCACGGGAGGATTTTATCAGACATGTTTTCTGTGTCTTCTGTGCGATTTTCGCTTTTATTAGCCAGTATCTAAGTTCTTTTGTGTGTTGATAAGTGCGTGTCGCATGTGTGCATGTTCTTTTCTTTTTCAATTTTGTTTGTGATTTTCGAGTAACACGTCTTCACGAGTCAGTAGGCGTCGCATCATTTTTTTTTTTTTTTTTTTGTTATTTTCTAGTTTTCTTTCCAAATATAGCATTTTTACATGTCAGCATGTATCTCGCGATTTTTCTTTAAGCTTTGAAATGTTTTTAATACATTTGAATTAAATTGAATTACATTTTATTTAGGCTTGCTTCTTTACTTTTACTGTTTAACGCTTTTAGTTCTTAAGGCATAATATATTATCGGTAAGTATTTGTCTGATTTCTTGTATCTTGGTATTGTATTCGTTAGTGATATACAATTTATTTAATGGAACTATCACTGAATAAACACAAGCATACACTCAATCATATATACATAGATATGTAAAATAACATACACACACATATATAGATATACATATTTATAAATACACATATACCTTCGTTTATCGTGCAACTCAGAGTTTCATGGTTTCCCAACTCGTCAGGTACAAATGGCAAATGAACCACTTAATACAGTTGTTTTTTTTTAATACTGGGTCTCATGGGAGGAACGCTAAATTTAGATTTACACCATAAATTATATTAAATAAATACTTATTTGCTTACCGGTATATGGATGCGATAGCGTGCATATACAATTTCTAATATCTCGTTATTTAGTTTATATCCACACTTACGTATATATATATATATATATATATATATATATATATATATATATATATATATATATATATATGAAATCACAGTCAGATTTCTTTTGTACAGCTTTTAGTTAATACTTCTATTACACAATGCACCTTTGAAAACAAACATTGAGAACATATCAACAATAAACTCTTTGAAAATATCTAATGAATTGGCCGAAATCGCTTATTTAATTATTATGCGTATTCTCTGCACTTTCTACTACACCCCCACCCAAAAAATTATTTACTGTAAGAACATTAGAAAAACTTAATAAAAAACTTATTAGATTTTCCTTGTCTGTGGCATTTAATGTAACATGTATAAATCAAGGTTTGCTCTCTAAATATACTATATACATTAGTATATATATAAATAAACACACACACGTATATATATATATATATATATATATATATATATATATATATATATATATATATATATATATGAGTGTGTGTGTGTACTTATAATTCTGTAGTGTGTGAATTTACACTGATATTTGAGACGTATTAAGATTAGCCTATATACGTAGCGATATACATTAAAATGAAAGGGAACGCACACCTTGGAAGTGCATATATTTGTGTTTTAAAGATCGATGTATCGATTGACAGAGAAAACTGCTAATGCAATGTATGTGCCGAACACGTCCTTCTCTCTCTCTCACTCTCTCTCTTTCCCTTTCTCTTTTTGTCTTTCCTTCCCTGTTTCTGTATCTATATATTTCGACAGAATCGACTTCTAATCGAAGCCCACCAATGCAACTGTCCCTGTGCAAGGCAGCAAGCAACGGTAGAGCTCCACGAAGAATAAGCAAATGCGGTGGCGACCTTGTGTGGGCGTCAAACCTCCACAAACGCGTGTAACGGTGAAAGCGAGAGAGGGTGAAGTGGAAGGAAGAGGAGGGGGAGGAGAGAAATTTTTTAAAAAAATAATAGAGAAGCTCATATCATTTACTCTCTTTTTTACTATCTTTTTTTTTTTTTTCCTCAGTCACTCACTCTCAATCTTTCACTTGGACTTTTCTCTTCGGGGATTCGGCAGCTACTGCTGCTTGTCTTTGATCAAATGAATGCCACCGGCGCTGAAAATGTCGTACACTAGTTTTGGAAATCAGATTTTATTTGCGTAAGATCGACAGACATCATTTTCATTAAATCCTTTTATTTAAATTTATTTTTCTATTTTTCAGATTTTATTTTTGCTCGTTAATTTATCTGTGAAAATTTGAATATACTCATGCCATCTCCGTACGTCAATGTAAATCATATGTATAAATAAAAATCGCTGCTTTAGGTTGTAAATATATATATATATATATATATATATATATATGTGTGTGTGTGTGTGTGTGTGTGTGTGTGTGTGTCTTTAAAATAGGATACAGAATCCCGACAAAATTTTAAAGAAATTTGACAAACGGAAAAGGTTTCATTGAAAATAGATTTAATTTCGACATGAACTAATAAATATCAAGAAAAGATACAGAATAAATATTAATGGCTTTTTTAAAAGTCCATCATTTTTTTCTTTCTTTAATCACAAGAAACGCCAGCTCAGGGAAAAAATACTATGATTCACTATTTAAAGATACACACAAATACGCATTTCTTTTTTTTTTTTTTCGTTTTGGGATCTGATGAAGCCTTGAAAGGCGAAACACGTAATCAAATCTATTTTCAATAAAACACTTTACATTTGTCAGATACATACATACATGCACACACACACACACACACACACACACATATATATATATATATATATATATATATATATATATATATATATATTATAATTCTGTCCGATTTATTCAATATCAGTTTTCCCTCTACATATATATGATCCCATTTATTGTTTCGTCGGAAGAAGTCCTTTTAGAGTATGAAACCCAGCACATAGGATTTTTTATATTTTGTTATTCATTTAATTAATATATATATATATATATATATATATATATATATATATATATATATATATATATATATATATATATATTTTTTGTGTGTCTGTCTATCTGTTTCTGGGCGTATGCCTGTTCGTGCGTATGTGTATCTCTCTTTTTCTTCTCTCTTATATATATATATATATATATATATATATATATATATATATATGTGTGTGTGTGTGTGTATGTATGTATGTATGTATATATTTTGTGTCTATCTATCTGTTTATATATATATAAAAAGAAATATATATATATATTCGAAACAGATAGACACGAATATATATATATATATATATATATATATATATATATATATATTTCGAAACAGATAGACATGAATATATATATATATATATATATATATATATATATATATATATTAAACAGAAACAGGCATAATATATATATATATATATATATATATATATATATATATATATATAAATTTCTCCGATTTAACCAGTAGAGAAGATAATATTTATGAATAAAAATGACAATACGAAAACTAGTAATTGCTGACGCGTTTCGTCCAATGTGGACTTTATCAAAGCAAAATACGAAATTTTCGTATTTTCCTTTGATAAAGTCCACATTGAACGAAACGCGTCAGAAATTTCCAGTTTTCCTATTGTCATTTGTATTCATATATATATATATATATATATATATATATATATGCTAAACCTCGTTAACATATGATGTCTAATAAAATATCTAATATTGGATTTCAAACTTGTGGTCATCAAAGACCTCTAAACTCTTCCCTGTTTCAAATCACGCTTGGAAATTATTTATTTTCGATTTTTTAGTAAATGAATTCTTTCTTGTAAAATATGGATGTGAAAGGAATTTTAATTTGAGAATAATTCCATTGTTAGAATGATGAGTACACAGTTTGAATTTCTACTAAAATCTGAATATTCTGTTCTCAGAAAAATTGGCGATGACAAACTTTACCAAATAATTCGTAAGTACGATGTCGTATTTTTTGTAAGTTTGCAATACACAAATCAGAAGATGTATTGGAATAACAAAACTAAGCAAACTATTAAAAAAACAGGAAAATTCTTTGAAAATAAAGGCACAAGTGTTAAAATCTTAAATCAGGGTTGGCTAAACCACGACTTGCAGTTCTTTGCCTTTTGAAAATAAGTTGGCTGAGCTCCTTTTTTCATCATAGTTAATATAAAAAGTAAATAAGAAAAATTTCAAGCTTTATAATTATTCATTGTGTGTGAATTGAGACCCCATTGGATTAAAACGTACGTTTAATGTTAATGTGGATGTAACAAAAACGTATGTGCAAATTTGGTTCATGTCTCGAACTTTATCGTATGTGGGTCGTACATTAAGCAAGTTTGGACAACTCTGTATTAAATAATTTGAATCCTCTCCCTCTTCTATATAAGGATATGGCGAAGAAAGAGAAGGCCCGATGCAAAAGTAATGTTCTATAGATGTATGCTGAGAATACCATGGACGGAGTAAGTGAGCAACGAGGAAATTTTAAGAAAAATTGAAACAAAATGGACATTACTGCTTCGGATCAGACGAACACTTCTGCTTCGGATCAAAAACGGCACTTCAGGTTCGGATCCAAAAGGACACATCTAATTTGGATCAGAAAGGACAAATCTTCTTCCGCTGAGAAAAGACATCTACTTCAAATCAAAAAAGATACTTCTGCTTCGGATCAGAACATTTCTGCTTCGTATCAGAAAGGACAAATCTGCTTCGGATCAGAAAGGATAAATCAGCTTCTGGTCAAAAAGGATACATCTACTTCGAATCAAAAAGGACACATCTGCTTCGGATCAGAAAGGACACATCTAATTCGGATCAGAAAGGACAAATCTTCTTCCACGCAGAAAAGACACATCTACTTCGAATCAAAAGGACACTTCTGCTTCGGATCAGAACATTTCTGCTTTGGATCAAAAAGGACACTTCCGCTTCGGATCAGAAAGGACAAATCTGCTTCGGATCAGAAAGGACAAATCTGCTTCGGATCATAAAGGATAAATCAGCTTCTGATCAGAAGGGACACATCTACTTCGAATAAAAATGGACACCTCTGCTTCGTATCAGAAAGGACACATCTGCTTCGGATCAGAAAGGACACATCTAATTCGGATCAGAAAGGACAAATCTTCTTCCGCTCAGAAAAGACACATCTACTTCGTATCAAAATGGACACTTCTGCTTCGTATCAAAATGGACACTTCTGCTTCGTATCAGAAAGGACACTTCTGCTTCGTATCAGAAAGGACAAATCTGCTTCGGATCAGAAAGGATAAATCAGCTTCTGGTCAAAAAGGATACATCTACTTCGAATCAAAATGGACACTTTTGCTTCGTATCAAAATGGACACTTTTGCTTCGTATCAAAATGGACACTTTTGCTTCGTATCAGAAAGGACACTTCTGCTTCGTATCAGAAAGGACACTTCTGCTTCGGATCAGAAAGGACACTTCTGCTTCGGATCAGAAAGGACACTTCTGCTTCGGATCAGAAAGGACACATCTGCTTCGGATCAGAAAGGACACATCTAATTCGGATCAGAAAGGACAAATCTTCTTCCGCTCAGAAAAGACACATCTACTTCAAATCAAAATGGACACTTCTGCTTCGTATCAGAAAGGACACATCTAATTCGGATCAGAAAGGACACATCTAATTCGGATCAGAAAGGACAAATCTTCTTCCGCTCAGAAAAGACACATCTACTTCGAATCAAAAGAACACTTCTGCTTCGGATCAGAACATTTCTGCTTTGGTTCAAAAAGGACACTTCTGCTTCTTATCAGAAAATAATTCGGATCAGAAAGGACAAATTAGCTTCGGATCAGAAAGGACAAATCTACTTCGAATAAAAAAGGACACTTCTGCTTCGTTTCAGAAAGAACACATCTGCCTCGGATCAGAAAGAGACAACTGAAACTTCTGGGACACAAAATGAAGTGGGCTTGGAGAATCTGGTACATACAAGACATACGGAAGGCAAAATATCCAGAGAGAAACATCGAGTAACATACGTAACGAGCTTGAGTAAATGAATGGCAGAATAGAGTGTCGTTAGGGAAGAAACAATATGGCTACACGGAATAGAAAAGCGAAGAGACACGCCATATAAACATGTTCTTTATTCTGACACTGTGCTAAACATATGACATCAATGCAATTATCCACACGATGACGACAGTCAATTCTTTCATTTTTTAATTTTTTTTTTTAATTTTTTGGTAATAGCTTTCAAATGAAGTTTATTATTATTATTTTAAATTATAGATTAGTTGTGCTTTATTATAATTATTAGTTTAACCAGGGAAAAGTTTGCACGCTGAACGGGTAAAAAGCGAAGAAAATTAACTTTTTTCATGGCCAGTTTTTATGCACTAATTTCGCTTTAATTAAGAAAGTAAAAGACTAAAAGCCGAGTTCGAATTCCTGTCGTCTTCATTACATTCACTTACGCGTGTATATCCTTGGGGAAGCGATGACTCCATCTCCTCCACCAGCAATGGATTAAATATCTCTATTTGGAAAATCCATTGTTATTCGCAAAAAAAAAGAAAACGTCAATGGAATATTCAGTCGCAAAATAATTATTCTTACAATTCAAAATATATTTCGGCTTTAAATAATCCACAAAGGGTTGGTAAAACCTAAAAAACAAACTAATCAATATACAAAGACTGCAAAAATATTTTACCTCTTCTAGGGTAAAAAAGTAAAACAAAATAGTAATAACTCAAATGTACTTAAATTTAATATATATATATATGTAGGTAACTATACTCGTCTCGAAAAATCTTCGAATTTTTGATTTGCCAATAATCAAATCAATCTCGAAGGAAAAAACAGATTTAAAAAAAGAAAGAGCCAGGAACATGAAAGTCTGTCGAAAAACCGCACAGATACAGGTTTAAAGCCCAAAGAAAAACCCCGACACGAGTAAACAACTAACTAAAAAGAGCTCAATACAACCGTAGAGCAGACCTAGTTTGGTTACGTGGTATAGTTTTGATTATCGCCTATAAATATGCCAGCTTATATATATATATATATATATATATATATATAAAAAATATTTTACCTGTATGAAATTCCTTAAAAAGACATGTCCAAAGTCCAGCCCGGGGGCCAGTCACGACACTCGGTCAAATTTGATATGGCCCCCATCCTCTGTCATGAAATGTATCACTTACGGCCTGCCAGTATAGTCAATCAGATTATGTAAAGTGGATTCCTCAGAAATGCAATTTCATGTTTTACCAAAAGATAGCACAGAAGGTAGTACTCTGTGGCCGCTCTCTGTCGGTCTAGCCCTGACCTTAGCCTTTTCCAGCCATTTTCTAAAATCACTGCCTTTGAACCAGACCTGGCCTATATACTGCAGTCCAGACCTCAGTATCACCGTTTACATTAGTGCAGGTAACTTATTTGTTTTAGTCATCTGAGATGAATAAATTCTAAAATTAATTAAATTTTGTTTTGTGCTGGTCAAAATAAGTTATAAATATATTTGGAACGTGGACTTATTTTCTACTTTTTAATAAGATGAATGCTGGTGTTATGTCCATGTATATATATATATATATATATATATATATATATCCGACTAACATGTTCATCTTGGTTTGCACTCACAACGCTTTTGCCTTGTTTCCTCCGGCCTTCTTCAGGTGTCTGCCGTCGTAATCCTTTTGTTTAATCTATAGGAATAGACTGTTCTCATTCTGCTCCCCCATTCCCAGGGAAATAACTCATATATATATATATATATATATATATATATATATATATATATATATATATAACTAGACTCGTTTCACCTAGTGAGCCAGGTTTGTCTGGCTCACTAGGTGTATATATATATATATATATATATATATAACTTGACAGACAACATTGATTAGCAATATATAATGTTTAAGATTAACCTGAGATATATTATAGCTTCCTGGAAGTTTATTTTTTTTAGACATGATTTATTTCATCTTATATGAGCTTCAGATATGACAAGTTGGGTGATTTTGGTAAGACCTGTTTAAATTTATTTGTCATCCATGTGAAGAGTTGAAAATATGCCATTTGTAATAAAATTTCCATAAGATTTTTTTTTTCGTATTTTGCTTTGATAAAGTCCACATTGGACGAAACGCGTCAGCAATTACTAGTTTTCCTATTGTCATTTTTATTCCTAAATAAGATAGTCCACTTGCATTTATTTTTAATGGTGCAAAGAATGCCAAGCAGAATGGCTGACCTCAGATATATTCACCTCATCAAATCTGGCCCTCTTTGGAAAAAAGGTTTGGACACCTCTGCCTTAAATCATTCCTTTACAACACTTGCATCCTTTGCACTATCTTGTCACTAATGCCTCTTCTCTCTTACCAGATTATTTTTGATGCCGACATATTATTGTCTTTGGCTTGTTCCTCCGGCTCTATTTGTTGGCAAACACTCTAGGAAATTACGTAATCTCATGGATCTGAATAAATAGTAATCTCATGAATACTACAGTTGCCATTTGATCATTTAAACTCGGCTCATGAATGAATGATGCTCGTGTCATTGCAAAAAGTTTAAATCATCAAATGACGACATCCGCGGCTCTCCAATCAAATATCAATTAATAATACCTGCGGTTTAAGGTTTACAATACTGTATGTTACTGTTAATTATAAAAAGTAAAGCTATATTATTTCGACATCAATAAAAAAAAAATCAGTTTTCCTGTAGTATTATAGATGGTGGGAGTAAAAGGATTCATCTCAAATCAAATATTTATCTGACTCTCAATATTTAAAACCTTGAACAGCCAACCAGAGATCAATTATTGTTATATAAATTGTAACTATACTAGTTATCAAAGAGATAATAGAATAACAAGGAACTATTTTGTAGCGATTATTAACCTAACCTTAGATTTTGCACAAGGTCAGAAATAGAAATCAGTGAGGATCGAACACTCAAGAGATGGTCTGCTGAATATGGTCGGCGCGGAAAATGGTATTATTTCGTTCAACCCTTGGGAAAGGTAAGAATTAATTTCTATAAAGACATGCTCGTAAATCAATATACCAAGCGAGGTGCCCAAGTATCTGTGGCACGCCGGTATTGGGCATTTTAAAATTAAGTCCCTTCACCAGAGTTTAGAATCATTTTTCTTTCTATTTTTTCTTTGTATTTAGTTGCGTGGATGTGAGGGTGGTATAATGGATAGCGAGCCGAGTTCGAATTTCAGTCAAGTTCGTTACAGTCACTTTCGCACAAATTCATTTTTCTCTCCCAGTAATGGGTTAAACAGTATCCCAGAAAGGGCTCTTCAACCTTGGTTGGCAACTCGTGTAAGAAAAAATTCTAAAATTCCAAACCTTAGGTAGCACTTGCGTACCACCTACTACGCAGCCATCGACAAGGTCATTGAGTTCACAATCGACCCACGACTGCGTCTATGTATTTTTTATTATATTGTTATATTATTCTCATAATACTTACATTCCACCCTCTCCTCCTACATTCCTATCACATATCATTCAGTAATCCTTTATCTGAAGTGGCTCACGAGCCTTATATTTGGGTGAATTTTATTTATTATTTTATCGATCTTCACTAACAACTGTTCACGACTGACCTTCATATAGACAGAGAAGTGGGTGGATATGTACATGCTAATATACTTTGGCGTGTTATATCCGTTTTTACTATAGGTCTAAATATTCGGACTAACATGTTCATCTTGGTTTGCACTCACAACGCTTTGGCCCTCGTTCTCTCTGGCCTTCTTCAGGTGTCTACCGTCTTAATCTGTAACTATTTTTGAATGAATGCTTTTATTTAATCTATAGGAGTAGACTGTTCTCATTCTGCTCGCCATGCTCAGGGAAGATAACTCATATTAATTAATCCTCACCAATCTTATTGAACTTTGTGTCACTTGACCGTTTCTTCCACTTCGATCCTTCCTTGTTTGTTTGTTTCTTGTCTTTTGTTTGTTTTTCTTGCTTTTATTCATTCATTTTTTCACAGAAATCAAGTAGCGTCAATGATATGTTTTGTTTTTCTACACAATCAATGCCAGGGATTGAACCCACAACTGTCAGAGAACCATATATAATTTAACCATTGTTTCTATTGATACAAACAACACAAAGGAGTCTAAATCGAGTAAGTATTACTTGAAATAAGTACTAAAGTTTAATATCCTCTGAACACAGAAAGGGGAATGCGAAGAAACTACTCTTGAGGATTGAATAAAGAGTTTAATTCAAAATTCAAAAGTCACCAAGTATAACAGAAGAATGCCTGAGGTTATAACGGCCTAAATGCTGTGGGTATAATACCCAAGATAAGCAGGCTGATCCGACTAGCAAGACAGAATTCTACATTAAAAAGAAATCAGACATAAAACAAATCTGTCGATGAATAATCGTAACTATGTTTCTCGTTATATGTTATGTGGGTTATTCAAGTGCGGACATTTTTTTTTCAAGAAAAGCCTTGAATATAAATTCTCAAGATCTTACGCATTAGAATCCACTAGCTCTCCAGAAAATCCCAAACCGAGAAATCTTTTTAAGGATCAGCCACGACAGCTTAAACTATGTTTTTTTGTTGTTTTTTTGCTTTGTTTTTTTAGTGCAGTGTTCGTAGAAACCACGACGCATTCATGCATATAAGCATACTGATATATTCATATAAACATTCACATGCACACACACACACACACATATATATATATATATATATATATATATATATATATATATATATATATATATAAAAGTGGACACTGACGCAACATCGAATGGTGACATTCAGTTTCATGACTGAACGCGATCTTCATGGGCTGAAAACTGCGTTCAAGAATGAAACATGTTGTCGCCACTTTTACATTTATATACACTCTATATCTAATATTGAACCATAAATATAGTATACCATAAATATATATATATATATATATATATATATATATATATATATATATATATATATATATATATGTTCTTGGCCTTTCCCAAAAATTTTCTAACTATCGATATCCGAGAAAATTTCATGGTTTTCCTATTATAATATTCTGTGAAACTTAATTCTTCAGTTAAGCTCGCGTTGAGTTCTATGAAATTCCAAAATCACATCGTTAAATATTTGAGCTTAACAACTTTAACAAAATATTGCAATAATAATCATAAATATAAATGCTGGTCCTTAGTTTAAGAAGTAAGGGGGTACAAATGAAAAGATTTGAAATTGGCAACGTTTTCCCTTTCAGTGACACTGCCATTAAACACTTCGATCCTTCCTTGTTTGTTTGTTTCTTGTCTTTCTAGCGTTCTTTTGTTTGTTTTTCTTGCTTTTATTCATTCATTTTTTTCACTGAAACCAAGTAGTGTCAATGATATGTTTTGTTTTTCTACACAATCAAAATGGAATAGTCCATTATTTATGAACTGTTAAATACTTCTATCTTCCATTCTTTCTTTTCTAACTTTCTTTTTCTTTCTTTTACTTACTTTTTCTTTCTTTCCCATCTTTCTTTTCTTTTCTTTCTTTCTTTCTTTTCTTTCTTTCTTTTTCTTTCTTTCTCTCTTTTCTGCCTTTCTTTTTCTTTTCTATCTTTTTTCTTTCTTTTCTATCTTTCTTTCTCTCTTTCTTTCCTATCTTTCTTTTCTGTCTTTCTGTTTTTCTTTCTTTTCTAGCTTTCTTTTTCTTTCTTTCTTTCTTTCTTCCTTTCTTTCTTTCTTATCTTCCTTTTCTATCTTTATTTTTCTATATTTCTTTCTTTTCTTTCTTTTCTAGCATTGTTTTTCTTTATTTCTTTCATTCGTTCTTTCTTTTCTTTTTCTTTCTTTTCTATCTTTCTTTTCTATCTTTTCTTTCTTTCTTTTTTCTTTCTTTTCTATCTTTCTTTTCTATCTTTTCTTTCTTTCTCTTTTCTTTCTTTTTTCTTTCTATCTTTCTTTCTTTTCTATCTTTCTTTCTTTTCTATCTTTCTTTCATTTTCTCAGTGAAACCAAGTTGTGTCTTTTCTTCTCGTCGGTCCACGCAGTCAAAACGATATAATCCATTATTTATGAGCTATTAACAGGGGGTAACGGTTGTTCGAATTACCAAAAGTGGGGACAAGCACAATTATTTATATTGTGGTTGTTCATTCGTTCAAATCTGGGAAATTTGGGCAGAATGTGAACGTTTCAACAACCCGTCCTATTCACGAAATTTATAGTCACATAGTTCGTGACCTACTGATGAGAAAGTATTCCTTTGACATGGCAAATGTTCAACATAATATCCTTTATAACTACATTACCAAACGCTTTTGTAAAAATAAAAAGAAAGATTGAAGATTTTACAAGGAAAATTTCTGATCAAAATCAGTTTATACTTTTGTCAGATTGCAATGTACGTTTGGATATATACTAGCCGAATTACTCGCGCGTTGCTGCGTGTCAGACATTTTTTGTAAGAAAATGATTTTGGAAAAAAAAATTCAGTGGAGGGGTGTGCAAAAAGCAGCTCGATCTGACCCCTTTGATATGTATTTGACGCAATACTTGATTGAATGAAATGATGAGCATATTTCAACATTGATATGACAATGGAATTGTTGCAACAAATACGTGTTGTCAGGTACTGCCATTGATTAGTGATTTCTTGCTCAAATTGACGTCCATCTTTTCTCATTTTGATCTTGCCGATGTGACCTCCATCTTCTGGCTGGGAAAAACATTTCAGTGGGGGTTTATGACTCCATGGATCCCCTTTGATCAAAATTAAATATACTTATCCAAGTACCCTGGGTAATGTTGTTTCAGAATATATATGGTTATGTGGTCCCTCTCCAAAACACTAGAAGGAGTTCGATAACAAACAAACAGACAACCAGAGGCTACAATTTTATATATAGATATATATTTGTTATACTGGAACACACCTATTCTATAGTTAATAGACTCTCCCACCAATAATAAGTAGTAGTAGTAATAGTAACAAGAAGGGGCTCAGTGAGTTGGTCAGTCAGTCGATGTCGGACGACCGTTAGTCGGATATTAAAGTATCAGCCACCGCAACTAGATTACTGCGTCATTACCTATTATATCAAGTACCTAACGTTTTGTACGTCGAACCTATTTTAGAACCGATTTAGTGAAATACAAGTCTCCACTGTGAAACTATACTACAACAATATTTAATATATTTTCTGTTTTTATTTTATTTTTATAGATACAATTTATTTAATTAAATGCTCTGTTTTTAATTAAGCCATATTAACTACATTCGGTGGCCTGAATATTCGAGAAATTTCATAGAAAATATGCGTTCTCCGACAGGAATCGAACATGTATTCCTATATGGAAATCGTCATTTGATCTGATGTGCTGTACCATTCAGCTACATATATTTCGTATAGGAATACAGGTTCGATTCTTGATGGAGAACGCATATTTTCTACGAAATTTCTCGAACATAAAGTATAAACAGAAAATACATGAAATAATTGTTGGACTTAATCCATTTCATAATATATATATATATATATATATATATATATATATATATATATATATATGGGGTTGCACCTATATAAATATTTTACTTAATGTATACGCTGACAGAAGTATCGGGTTGGTTGGTAATCAATAAGTGATAACAGCTTCGACACCGTTGAACTATTTTGTCATAATTTATTTGAAGACATTGACCGTTTTCTATCTAATTTCATTTACGGACTTGTGTTTGATTTCCTTTCACATAAAATGGATCATGAACCTGGTGACTGCACTAAAGATCGTTTACGAAATTTAACTTAGACATTCAATGAGATACTGTATGCGTCAATTTTCTAAGTGTCGAACTCATTTGAAAATCCTTCAAAATACTGACTTTTAACTCTGTTCAAATTTAATCCCAATCTGTGGTAACTCCGTAACAGCACCGACAGAAAAATGCAATCGCGACCCCATCATATACATTTATCTTTCTTACTCGCTCTCTCCCTCCCAATATATATATATATATATATATACTTTTCCATTTGTTCGCTGTAGATGTCTCCTTTGAATTACTTAAATTCTATTCTGGCAATCTAAAAACAACAGAATTTAATGGAATCCTTCTTGTTTAAGCCACTTATGATTCACAATTCTTAACAATGAGCGTGACAATTGAAAGTACTCGAATGTATCATAAAAAAGAATTTTGGGCAGTTTATTAACATTTTAACATCTCTCTCTCTCTCTCTCTCTATATATATATATATATATATATATATATATATATTGAACAATAAGAAAATAAAAAATTAAAATCATTAGACACACTGGGTTGTAGATTAATATTCTTTCGTTTTTTTTTATTATTATTCCATTTAGATTCCTCGACTAGTTTCGACCGAAATGGCCATCATCGGGAGGAGAAATTAAATATTTCTGCTTGCTGTTAGCAGTGAACTACAGAAATGAATGTCTTTTGTTGGAGAAAATGAACTTTTTGTCTGTAGTTTTCATTTGTTTTTTATTTTTTTATCTTTTTTTCACATGAATCTTTTAACATTCCTTGTGTTGGTCAAACAGTCTCTTTTAAGTTGTTATTTGAGATAAGAACTGGATAGATACATTTATCCTGAATTCTCTGGTCAGTTTGACAGTTTTATTGGACCTGGTGAGGGATGTGTCTCTGTTTAGTGTTTGTGTGTGTGTTTATTTGGTTTTTAGGGAGTGAGTGAGTATGATATGTGTAAGCGTGTGTATTGCTTTGGGTGTGTGTTATCATTTGGCACATTAGGGTAGGAGTGAGTATGGTGTGTGTATGTGTGTATAATCGTGTGGGTGAGTGTATAAGTGTGGGCCTCCATTCCTCCGTAAGCATGTCTGTCTTGTGTGGGTGAGAAATGTGGGTAGGTTTTGATTTGTTGATTGTTACTATTATATATTGTTAAATTTATGATTTAGCCCGGCTGGGTATTGTGTTTTTAGACGTTGTATCCACTTATTTTCATGGGACTCTAAATATATATATTATATATATTATGCAAAATTAGGTAATCCGTATGGGTAGACTCAAGGAGGATGATATCCAGAGAGCTCAATGTTAATTCAGAGCAAATATATTTGAATAAAAACAGACCACTTTAAGGTTCCATGTAATAAGTTATTTCACCACAACCATTTTAAAGGGCTCTGGATCATCAGACTTTACTTCCAAAAGTTGAAATTCAATAAACTTATAATAACTTATTACATGGAACCTTAAAGTGATCTGTTTTATTCAAATATATATATATATATATATATATATATATATATATATATATATATATATATATATATATATATATATATATATATATAAATGTAAATTTCATTAAAGACGATAGACAAGGTACTGCAAGTACGATATTTTTTTTAATGTGTTCATATCCTGAACATAAAGAGTGTAAAACTCTCCAGGTGTCCTACTGGCCATTATCAATGATATATATTTTTAACTGAATATGTAAATTTTTATATATGAGTATCTATAGTGATAGGAATGTTTTTGTCCCAACATGGCCGAAGACGTTGTGGTCGTGTTCATAGTTGATATTATTGAGTGTTAGCTTTTTCTCTTTTATTATTATATTCTTAGAGGTACAAAATTATGGAAATAAAAAACTGCAAAATGAGCTTTAACATTCATGATTAAAAAAATAAAATAAATATATATATATATATATATATATATATATATTTTGCATGCCTTTACTGACTGCAGGAGATTGTCTAGAAAATTCTGTTCTTTTTAAGCTTGAATTCGTGCAAGAAAGGTTGCATAATAGATATTTCACCTCCATGTTGCTCTTCTTTTGAGAAAATATCCGTAGACATGTTTAAAAAACACTCTCTTCTCATTTTTTGGAGGGAAAAGCGTATCATTTTCATCATATTTTTATTTATTTTTAATATAGTAACTGAGGCACCTTGAAGTACACGAGCGTTGGCTAACGCCTGTACCTGACGTACAAGTTGACAAATGAATTCGTTTCCAGCTCAGAAGGGCATAAAAAGAATCAAGACCAACGTATAAACCCGTCCCTAGGTGGTTTTTGAACGTTATATTTTTGACGTGTTTATTCGTCCGTGACTGAAAACGGAACTTCCGGTAAAAACATACACGGGGTAATGGACTAAATTAAACATTAAATGTTTATGTTTTCTTACTTACATAAGGACGTATGTTCGGATTCAGTAAATGCCAATGTTTTGGTAACTTTTGAGATTTGGTCCTTTCGATCATATTCGACATTAGAATATTAGGATTTAGATCATATTCGTTATTAGGATAAGACCTGAATAAAACTATTGATAATATTCATTTCGCTTTTTTCTCATAATTTCAAACTCAGTGCCCGCCGTTTATACCTGGCGGCATATATACTTGGACATACGTTTGTACGAGGCAAGAGACATTTATGGACAAAGGAATCAACCCTGCATAGTTACTGTCAGTTTTACGCCTCTAGGAGCCCGTTAAACCCATCGCTGGTCTGAAGATGGCATTGAGGCATGAAACTGACAGCCAGTTTTATTCCTTTGTCCACACAGGCTATATCTATAAATGCTCTATATCTGGTACTGAGTACTCTTTCCCTATAAATATAACTAAGTCTAAACAATATATATATATATATATATATATATATATATATATATATATATATATATATATATATATATATATGTATGTATGTATATTGTGGATTCCGGATGAAATCCGGTCTCAAATGAATGACAAACGCAGGAATGAAATATAAGAAATAAATGTATTGACGTAATAATACAATTGGTAATACGGTTAGTAGGTCCAGAAATGCGGTTAGTAGCAATAATAATATATATATACAGTCTGGGAAATTCAGTATCGAAGTATGACTTCCTTCTGAGTCTACGTGCTCGCAACTGTGACTCCTACAAAGCGGTTACCTCACACTCTCACTCTCTCACTGTATCACTGTCCCTCTCTGGGTATTCAC